GGACTAGGCGCGTTCTACATGGTCTCCCTGAAAACAAGACCAAGTTGCGACAACGAGGTCAACCCACTTCAACCAAGTGTTCTTTCAAAATGAAAATTCTATTTGTACAAGTTTTTCCAGTGTCCGTCATTCCAGGCTAGTGGTGTGTACCTTTATTGTGAACAAGATGAATCTTGAAACGTTCACGTAAGCATATTTTACCGTCCAACTTCAATTTACACACGCGTTTAACCCTAAATCCGATTTGCACGATATCAACATCGAGACCGCTTTCGACAGAGCTGACAAGTTATTGTCTATCTATCCAGCAATTTAATGTCTCTTTTCAAATGTCCTTCCTTTCCGGCTTTCCGCGGATAGGGCTTGTTGTTCCTGCCTTGAAGATCTGATCATGTCAGCCAAAAATGCGTGTTTTGGAACACGTTTTGAGTGCATGCATACCCAAATCGCCAGAGCTGACGTGACATTTTGCGAGCCCGCCACGCCTGTCTCCCGTTCTCTCTTTTCCTTCATTGGACCCCAAGTACCTCCGTATCCCTCCGTCTACACAGCCTCCGTCTCTTTGGTCTGGCAGACACTTTGCGCCAATGTGCAAAAGCCGGAAAGATTGTGTACATGTTCGCTTAAAAGAACGACTAGTGTCCTATCTGGAATCTCATTTGTCCACACTCCATACCACGTGATCTCTGTCCCACGCAGACTGACGTTCTCTTTTCTCAGTCTACCCACGCATTTTCTTCTGGACTCTCTCTCTCTCAACTGCGTTTAGTCGCTTTTCGTTACTGATTGATCAATAATATGTATGCTCTTCTGCTCCACTGACTAACCCCTGGTCTCTTCGTCCCAAAGCCTCGGGCTATGATCCTGTTCTCCCTAAGCCTACTTTTCCTTTTCTACTTGACCTCTATTCACTCTTCTCTCGGCTTTTTCGTCCCTGGCCATGCATTAGCTCCTGCACTTGTCTCTTCTGCTTGGTCGTCTTGCTTGCATCATTCACTCTGACCTCTGTTTCTTGGCCGTCCTGTCCATTATTAAAGCAGAGTGATTGCTCTATTTGAGCCGCATTGATGGCCAAAGAAGCAGCTTAACCGAGGCAGATTCGCCATTCGATGCTGAGCTAGGCCTGTCTGTTGAGTTTAGGCCTCCTAATGCAAGCAGTAGAATTCATTTTACCACCTGTGCGGAGGTTGGATGTGGTCTAATTAGTGAACCAGAAAATTATTAGCTTCCGAAATAGGCTTCTTTTTAGAATCTGCCGAGTATTGATGCTATAACACATGATTTACTCGTCTGTATGTTTTGGCTAGACTTACTTATTATATTGCTGAAAAAGTATTCGTCAGCTAATTAGCCTTCATATTGTTGTCAACTTTCACCGGTTTTGATTCTCTTATTCGACTGTCAGTGAATCTATCC